ACCTACAAAAGACACATAGATAGTCTGGAGAAATACCACCAGCGATGCCTAAGAAGGATCCTACGGATTAGACGGCATCAAGTAGTCCACGACGGACCGCAAATTTTTGAAGAAAAGCGCCGCAGACCTGAAACCGAAAAGAGGGATCGCAGGAATGAGCTAGAGAACAAAGGAAGAGACCATGCCGCCAGATACTGGGTGTGCCAAGACTGTGGAAGAGTGTGCAGCTCCAGAATTGATTTATATAGAAATCAGAAAACGCAAAACACGACAATTATAAACTTCTATAGGGTTGCTTTTCGAAATCTTGTAGCACGTTCACTTAAACTTTTGATAGCAGAAAGCAGTTTTTTTCTTAGCTGGTTGATTTGTATTTTCCCGACATTTTTTCCCGTACTACTAGATTTGCTTTCAGAACTTTCTCATTTATTTCTGTATTCAAATCTCCAAGTTCGCGACATTCTCTGCTAATGTTCCGTTTTGTTTTCATAAATCCTATCTACTCAATATTTTTCTTTGCATGTGAGCTGGCTTTTTTAACGATTTTTTGATGTTCATGCAAGATGCTCAAAACACAATCAAGTTTTGTATCTTATATCACAGTTCTAATACCTACCATCGCTTTCACTTCCATTTCCTGTGAATTCTAGGTCATGGTTCATTTTCAGTTTCATGATGTATTTCCACTTGATCGATCTTGATGGATTATATAAACAACTTGAAAAATACCGAAATTTGGAAATTTTGATCCAGGACATTTTTTTTTTCTTGATCCTTTAGTGAAAATGTAGAACAGCTACCTTTGTGACTAATTTTTTGTCCATATATTATGTGGCTTTATCTATTTTTTTTAAAATATCCATCAGCTCTCAGCTCATATCAATAATGACATCTTATTACATTTCGCTATAGACCGGCCCGGGCTCACATTCGGTTTTTTTTTTAAATAATAAATTTACATACGCATACATATCTATAGTCCGAATCAAAAAATGAAAGACACAAAATAAACGTCAACCATGTATTAGAACATCACAAAAAAAAATATACAAAACTGAAACTTAACAATAAAAAAGCAACTAGGCTAAGGGACAGACCGGGTAAAATACGTAAAACGTAAAGTCACATCGTTAAAGAAAAGAACTCGTTCAAACTGTAATAAGCTTTACCCGTCAGAAAATTCTTTACCTCTATAAGTAGCCTCTTTCCAGTGCTGCGTTGTCTTTCTTCTTTACAGGAAGTTTATTGAATAATTTTTTGCCCTCATATACAGGGTGACTGGTAAGTGGACGAATTCCATTGAGGGGATGAAATTAGAGCCTATTTGTTACCAATTAAACAGTATTTACCTCTATACCGGTTTCCGAGATTTTTTTAATTTTCATAAAATTCACTAACCTATGAGGCAAATATTTATAATTAACGAAAATAATGAGGAACTCTCTAAAAGACGTGTTTTTAATTTTAAGCTGACATGCTTACAAAAATATCAGGAGTGAAATTTATCGAAACACTAATGTTGGCTTGAAAAAGTATAGATGTAATATACGAAACGTCGCCAGAGAATAGTTGGTCTTTGTCTCCTTTCCCATTACCCAAGATCTCAACAAACTAATGTTAACTATTGGGTTATTGCGGTTTAAACTTGACCTTTCTTGTCAAGTTTCTAACTAATGGTTTATTTGAGTCTAATAATATCGAAAATTTCATAGTACCTCAAACGTACAAATAATTGGTAAAAGTTCTCCATTTTATTGTTTCCAAGATAAGGTACATTATTTCAGAATCAACTTTTTGTTTTATTGTTAAATAAATTATTTTATTCAATCAATCAATCAATCAATCAATCATATCCAACACATGACAGTTATGACTATTATTATTAATGTCATTTTAGACAAGTAAACTATCAAATAACTCACTAGTGAGTTATGGATTATAACTCACTAGTGAGTTATGGTTTATAACTCACGTTCATATTTAAAGTAGTATTCTATTTATTTATTACTATTACAATTACAATTAAAGGAAAACGTTAACGGTTTATTCGAATTTGAAGTCATTGTAAAATTCGTTGGTTCATTGGAACCAGACGCTCCCATATCGGTCCAGCTGCTGATAGTGCTGGAAGACGCAGACTAATAGAACCTTTTATTTTTTTTATATTATCTCATAAAAAAACACGATTTCTTCTACTTGTTGGGATAAAACATTGTATGCCACTCGTGTGTTATGTTTCCTAAGTCACTTGAGAATTTATACCACTCGGCCTGACGGCCTCGTGGTATAAATCTTTCTCGCGTGACTTATTTTCAACATAACACACTAGTACCATAAATAACTATTTATTTTTAGGAGTAACGATATAATTATCATATATTATATCACAAGAGAAAAAAATTTGTCGGTAAAATTTTCGAAAAGTATGAAAATTTTTTGCTTAGCAATTTCGCGAATGACATTTTTGACAAAATCACGAGCCGTCAGGCGAGTATTCGTCATGACTATTTCACGTAAGATTTTGAAAATAAATAGAATGCAAAAATATGAAGAAAAACTTCAAATTAAAAATATCAGTTTGACAATGTCAAAAAATGGTCGCTGAAATACCATGTTGTTGGTATTGTCCAGGTAGCAATATTGTCAGCTGAATACCGAATTTATTGCCGGTGTAATACACTCTAGTGAAATAGTCAACAAAATTTTAGTTTATACCTGTTTTGGATATCAAGTGTTGCAATAAAAATTTTGTCAAATTTTTATTTTGAAATTTTCATAATAAATTACTGGCACTCTATTGCCAAGCATTCTTGAAAGCACTCTCTTTCAAATAGTTTACAATTGGCACCTAATTTTTTCATTCCATAATAAAACAATAATTACCATTTGAAAATAATGTATTTCCTACCTCATATTAAAAAAAAACAACATTCTGAAAATGTAATGGAAAAACTTTTCCAACAAGTGATGTAATTTAATCAATAACTCCTTAATTTTCAAAATGACTACCCCCATTCCTTATGCAATCACGAGCCCGTCTTCTTATTTCTGTCTTGGTAACTGGATTCGAAAACTTTTGTCGCAATATCGCAACCCCATACTGTATCCTTTCAATAAGTTCTTCGCGCGTATTTACCTCCGTGGCATATACGATTAAAAATCTAACGGCGTTAAATCAGGGCTCCTAGCAGGCCATGGTACGGGTCCACCTCTTCCAATCCATGTATTCGGAAAACTTTGGTGTAAGAGTGCCCTTAATGTTAGACGATAGTGTGCAGGACATCCGTCATGCTGGAAGATCATCTGTTGCCGGTTCGCTAAAGGGACATCTTTTAGTAACTCATACAAGTTGTTACGTAAAAATTCTGCATAGTTTTCACCGTTAAGGTTATCAGGTAAAAAATGAGGACCAATTAAATTATTGGCGATAACTCCCATCCATACATTGACACTAAATTTTCTTTGGAAACTAATTTGCTTCTCCTGATGCGGATTATCTTCGGCCCAGTAGTGCAATTATAAAAATTTGTTATTCCTTCTCTGCTAAATTTTGATTCATCGGTCCATAGAATTCTGGTTAAAAATTTAGAATCCTCAACATCCGCATTCAGAATAAATCTGCAGAATTGAACTCTGCGCGCCGGATCACCCTCGTCTGGTCCTTGCACAGGAGTGTAATGGGTGAAGACCATTTTGATGATTTATTGACGATCTTCCATTGTGAAACATCCAGCTGTCGGGAAATTTTTCTTGTGCTTGTTGTTGGATCTTCTCCAAGTAGTCTCAAAATTTCACCAATAATATTGACGTCTGCAGGAGGAGCTCCTACGCGTTCTACTCATTGAAGGCTGCCAGATTCTGAAATGCGACGGTAAGTTGCACCAAAACACACTAAAGGTACGGTTTGTTAGGAGAGTACGTGACGCACAACTGACAACGTAAACGTCGTCATTGGTTCAGGTATGACGTCCACCCATTTTCGGACGTCAGCGTCAGCGTCAGAAAACGGGTGTACGTCATACCTGAACCAATGACGACGTTCACGTTGTCAGTTGTGCGTCGCGCACTGCCCTAACAAACCGCACCTTAACATGCGGAATGCGCCTATTCGGAAAGCGACATATATATCCTCTTTGAGCTTCAGCTGCATTTTTATTGGAAAAACCATAAATAGATAAAATGTCCGCATATTCAACATAGCTAAACGTTGCCATTTTAGATAGAAGCCAACAGCCAAAGAATATCATCAGAACTATTTAAATCAAAACTCTTGACGAAAAACTGAAACTAAATTTTGTTATTGTTTATTGTTATTAATTCAAAAACTGGAAAAATGCGTATGGTATACCTGTTGATAAATAGAAAGTTCTCGTGCCTCAGACGCTATTCTATAGTTCTCGGACACGAAGACACAAAAATCCTCTAATTCCTTATTTTGTTTACATTTTGACAGCTGAATTGAGTGATCTAACCTAACTTTTTTTGCTTGTTTGCCAACTTTTATGTACTTTAGGGACTAAAGTGGGTACCTATTTTCAGGGACTAAAGTGGTACTTTTTTTTCCTAGGGATTAAAAACGATTTTAATCCCTAAAATAAATAGGTAGGTAAGCAATATTGCATTAGTACATATTAGAAATAAAACTCAGGTACTAGATAAGTTAAAAAGAGGTGAATAATTATTGGGGGTCAAATTATTATTGACTAAAGTGTTCATGTTCTGCACAATCCTCGCATGCGCCGCTGCTGGCGTTGGTTTTCCATTTTCTGTCCTTGCATTTTGTGCCGTTGGAATAGAAATTGGAATATCTGAGGAGGTGCTACTGGTGCTAGTAAAAATTTGATCTGCCATATATATTTTTTTTTGATATAAAGAATTTTCCAGGTATCCTTCAGCGACGGTGCTGCTTTTCCAACCGCCATGTCGTTTAAGCTGATCTATGCTTACCCCAAAGTCGGCTAGCAACGATGCCGACGTTCTGCGAAAACAGTGGCTCGTGTATAGCTTCGCATCTGGCAGCTATAAATAGTTGGCAATTTTAATTGACATTTGCCCGAATGTGTTCTTGCCCATGGGCTGAGAAGTACACTTTCCTTTCGTGTAGCCAACGAAAAATCTTCTATGACCTGTTGTTGGGGGTCTTAAAGCGATGTTTTTTTTCACCAATCCTACCACATCTGTAGAGTTTTTGTTTGATCTCTTAATCACGAACGATCTGTCTTTTCGTGTTTTGGTATATCGTAAATTTACTAAAAAATGTTTCATATTCCAAAACATCACTTCAATCCAGCTGGCACAGCTCCTTCCCTCGACATGCCCCTGACACGCCCATGATTAGCACCACCTGGAAAAAAATCAGTGAATTTTGTAATGCAATACCTACCATTTTATTTATTTTCCAAAACATGTCTAAGCAAATTAATAAATTATTGATTTTCTGCTATAAGGCCGTCTTTATACACGCGTTTTATAGTAGCACGTTGTGACAGACAAACAGACATATGAAACAATCAGCATAAAAAATAAAAAACGTATCCTACCTTTTGTCCCAAAAATTCTTGGTCTGGCGCTTTTTCCAGAAAATCTTTAATATTATCAGCATGAAGAATGTTCGACTTCTTTGGCTTATATCCTTCATTCTGCCTCTTCAAAAATGCAGTAAGCTTGCTGTATTTACTGATATCGACGCCCATGTCTGCTGCAATTGTGGCCTTTAGCATCGAATACAAGCTCCACAAGTCCACAATGACGATGACTTCAACTTCCGTGACTTGCCCAAAAAGTAAGCTAACAGAACCTGTTCTTCAGTAATATCTTCCACGTCCTGTTCTTGACGCCATTCTGTATAGTCGGCTAACTGTTTTTTATACAAATCTCGGGATTTTTTCGGTAGTAACTGCGCTATAGCCTCTTCCGCAGCTTGTTCAATATTTTCCATGTTTCTGCTAATGAATATTGCTTATTCTCAATAAATGAAGTTTTGACCATAGAGAAATATAATAGTAGTAAACTACGAGAGAACTTTGTTTAATGTAAGAATCTGGAAGTGTGTTTGTGGGTTTGTGCGCATAAAGTCCGACAAATACCATTTTAAAGTCACGTGATATTGGTGGCAAAAAACGTATGTTCATTGATTATGTCGTTGATATCACCTACAAAAAGCTACTGGTGGTTAATTACTATTGAATTTTAGGATATGTTCCCACTAGCATTCTACAAACGCGTTTCTGAAGTAGTATTGACCAATCAGGTGGGAATTTTAATACTTGCAATTGTTGCGAGACTCACTTTTGTCGCATCTGCTGTCCGTTGTAATACATTCTGAATTTGAATTGGGTACCCGTTTTCTATTTGCTTCTTTTCGAGTTGGAAAAAGGTTAATATAGTTAAAATTATTAGCTGTGTTTGTTCGTTTGGTATTTGTTGGACTTTACCCGTAGCGTATTTCGCATGGTGTGGCAGATTATTGTACTAATTACTTCAATCGTTTCTGAAAACTTGGTTTAATTTTTCTTTGTCAGCAAATTGCTCGAAAATATTCTATCTTTTTTTAACATATACAAGATATAAAAATTAACAAATGATTGAATCCAAAGACCATCAATCAAAAATTGAATGCTCATCATAAATATCATAACGTAAAATTTCTTCTATTATTTATATTAGAGAAATGAGAAAACAGCCTTGATCTGTGATCATAATTATTAATTAATTAGACAAAACTGACACCAATGAAAGTGTGTTATCGAATTTGCGATGATGCGAGATGCAGTGAAAAGGTAAACACAAAACTTATGGCGTTTACGATTGGTAGATTATGTGCGCACTGAGTGTATTTGCATCCTTTTATTCGACCTGTAGAAGAAAAAGACAGGAATAGAAAAAATTGCACTAGTTCTGCACTAGATCTACCAATCGGAAACGTCATTATAATACAAACATTTTTAGCTACTGGGCATATTTATAAAATTGGAATAAAAAAATAAGATTGTTTGAAGATATTTCAATTTTTGTATTGTTTAATTACCTCCTTGACCCCCTTAAGGAATCACATTTCACCTAATTTGGATTTGTTAAAAATAAGTTCTATTATCGTTCTAAACAATATTGCTCGGTAAATTTTAGCAAGTTTTTTCAACAAATGTATTGCTTTGCAATTAACTGTTTTGAGTGTTTACAGTACCTTATTTTTAATAAATCGGAATAAAACAAAAGTCAATAATTGAATTATTTAAAAAAGCCGCCTTTCCACTGTCGGTAAAGAAGAAACCTGTATTCAAACAATGTTCACTCATTTAGTTGCTGTCCGTAGCCACCAGGGGCGCTAACGTCGACATTGTGCCAGTTAAGTACAGGGGTATGACTTCTCTCGTAGTTTACTACTATTATATTTCTCAATGGTTTTGACAATAATTGAATTTGTTAGCGTAAACTGACTTTTGTTCATCTTAGCAACTTGTCACAACACACCGAGATTTTGATTTTTGAGTAAAATGTTGATGTCATATAAGGTACATTCATTTTTTCACATGACATGTCATCATCATAACCACGTTTTGTAAAGAGTACGGTCAAGTCAAGTCAAGTGGCATTTAATTTTTTTTTTACAGTTTTCCTATCCTCTAAAGTACATAAAATAGCATATATACCTCGGGACTAAAGTCTCTTTTCATCCCTCGACGAAATGGAACCCCTCCCTTCCTTCGGTCGGGTCACAAACTTTTCGCCTCGGGATAAAAAAGTCACTTTAGTCCCTAGGTATATAATATACTATTGTTCATCCTGAAGATTCCTGAGTTTTATTAATTTTCCCTGTGTGGAGGAATTATTAGAAGTTGCTGTTCTTGCAGACGTGAATGGAGCGTAAACTAATTTTGACATAGCATAGCGTTACGGTAAGGCATCCGCTAACTTGCGGACCCCGTTAGGTCACGGGGTCCGCAAACGCTAATACCGTAAGAACTGTCATTCTTGTCAAATAACGTTACGGTTTTTGAAATTTGGACAGCACGAGAACTCTCTAATATCAACATGATTGGCGAGTATCATACCAAATTGCGACCCTTTTAGTAGGAGAGCCGGCAATATTAACGGGTATGTGATCGTTGCAATGGATAATTTACACATAAAAGAATAGCTCATAGTTACCTTTAAACTAAATGGATGGGTGGCCTCGATTCTCATGGCTGCAACCCTTTGATGGCTGGGCGTAAACTAACCCTCTTTTTCCGAAGGAACAATGTTATCGCTATAATAGCTGAAAATTGGTAGATATATTCTTTAATATGTCTTCTCAAATAATATACAGGGTGTATCAGGTTTGACTACAAAAATTTTAACACATGAAAATATGGCCCATTTTGAACAAAAAAAGTTTATACAACATGGGGTCCAAACTCAACCATTTTTAAGAAAAAGGCCTTCGAAGTTTTAACTTTTTTGACGAATATTTTAAAGTTAAAGAAAATTTTAATCATTATGAGATGTAGAAAAATTTATAGTTTATCCAATTATTAAGTAATTATGCATTTTTAGTCAACAACAATAACAAAAAATCGGAAAAACAACATACAAATTTCACTAGTAAAAGGGTATCTAAACATCTAGCAACACAGCACAATAAAGGAAAGGTGGTTGAAGGTTGAACCTTGGTGGAGCTGAATAAATTGATTCTTGATTTGTCTTTTCTACTTGGGAAACGTGCGTAATTCAAATTCATTCTTTTTTGAAAATAAAATGTTTAGAAACATCCATAATGCAGATACCTACTTGTTTAGACAGCATCGTTGCAAAATGCTCATTTAGCTACCAGAATTCACAGTGAAACTAGGGAAAGATTTTCCAAAAGAAAAGCACTCTCCTGATGGAAGAACATTGTGCCCGTGTTACAAAGATTGCGTGATACAAGAAGTGTGAGTTGTGAGTGTGCAAAATCTGCGAGTTGATTTTAGTGTTTTGAGAACTTTTCAACAAAAATTATTATTTTCATAATAAGGATTTGACAAGTAGCTGAGTATTATTTGATTTTTCTCTTGAATGTTTAGTGCAAAAATGTCATTCAATGCAATTCACAACTTACTAAAATGGCATATTTTTTATTTCTACTAGAAAAGTGATAAAAATGCAAGTTGTTATTTACATTATTTGAAAGCCAATTATATTTTCGATTCAGAAACTTGTATTTTAAAAAACATTTATTTTATTGATTAAAATAGAGAGGTGACAAAAGAAAATATTCGGATCAAATTGCTACAGGCTAAAGCCAGAAAACAAATGAACGTTCCTTATGGGACGGCATCGGCTTAAATAAACATTTAATGCCGACATAGCAATTTGATGTTTACTTTACAACAATGTATTTAAAAAGTCCTAGAGGAAAGGGGTAAGCACATTAAAGCATATAAAAAATAGATAATTGATTATAAATCAGCATGGCAATTGGTTAAAATAACTCCTCCCTCCTTAAGATGTTGCAAACGTGGATTGTTGTGAATTCAAATCAGACAATTCAAATCAGACAATTCAATTTGCACATTTGCACAACCTTTTTTTGAAGTTTTATATTTCCTAAAACAGTAAAACAGTAAAATTAAAAATAAAATAGCAAGACTTAAACTTATGATTACATATGTGTTTAAATGAGAGTGTTCAAAATACAATTCTTTTAGATTATGAACTCTTATTTGTTTCGTCGTCTTGAAGGCTTCTTCTAAGTCTTCTTGGTTAATTTCTTGAAGTTCCAATGTTGTTGCGTTCTCTGGAAGTTCAGGGATGTCTATTCTTGGAATCTTCAGTTCAAAATTGAAGTTCTCGCTGGTTTTTGAAAATTTTTGATTTTGGATTTTCACAAAAAATTTCTCAAAAGAAACTAGCGTTGGATTAGTTATTATTTCCATATGGTTTGTCTTGTCACATTGAATAACTATGGTCAGGCTTTTCTTAGGAATGACTAATAGTTGTCCATTCTGGAGTTGTCTCACTGTTGGTTTTTCATATTTCACTTTAGTGAAAGGACATTGTTGTGGTAGGTCAGTAATCAGGTCGTAGACACATGATTCTTCTTGTTTCAGCTCTTCTTGGTTACAAAGGTACACACTTTCGATTTTCGGGCATTCCCATAACGTATTGTAGTAAATGTCCGTAGTAAGTAATAGGTAAGGGTACTTATTCCTAATGGTAAGTTCTTGGATAGGAATTGGATAGATTTTATACAATATAAAGGGCTTGGGATCAATCATTGGTGTGTGTATAACAAATATAATTAACTCATTTTGGATTTTTACTTGAGTTTTCATTGTCTCATAATACTTGATTTTATTATCAAAAGGTATTTGCTGACTTTTGGGTATATTTGTTAATATTTGATTTAATTTACTATGCTGTAAAATAGTATAATGCATTATTCCCAATTGTGCAAAATTTATTGCTAATTGCACATGATCAATAAGATTCCTTATTTTATTACTTTGAATATTGATGTTGTTCAATATTAGATTAAAGGTTAACATTGAGTGGAAATTTTGGTTTTCCAAGGAAATATTTTGTAATTTTCCTGTGATAACCTTTTGGTTAGATTCAATAGTTAAAAATTGATCGTGAAATGTTTTTGTAACTTGTTTCAATACTT